ACTCGACCACCATTATGGTTACCGCCAAAAAAAAAAACGGAGGTAAAAAAAAAAAACGGTTACCTGGTTGCCGAGTGCACGAAGTGAATTGGCTAGTGTTACACCGTCGTTGCCAAGCGACGAAAACCCAACCCCGATGGCAAACACCGAGGGGGGGGGCAGTGGGGGGGAGGATTCAACAGACTCAGTTTGCTTTACTCTTCAGAAGGCTTGTCTAGGCATAGTACGGAGAGACTCAAGCACATGATCCCCCGCGCACATGGGGTATGTAACTGTGTTTAGTATGCAGTGGTAGTGGGAATTGGACGCTGAACGCCCTTGACCACACGTGCCTTGCGGATCTACATTACCGAAAGGACCTGACCCTAGAATGCGCTCCTGGGTCGTGTGTGTTTCGCTCATTTGTTTTGAAAAGGTCGATTGTGCAACGTTTTCCTGTTTTGCAGGCCTTAGAATACTACTCCCGGGCAGTGCGGTCGGGAGCCGGACGCCCATCGTTGGTGCACATCGCCAAGCTCCACCATGAGCTTGGGCGATCAGAGCAGGCTCGTGAGGCGTGCCGAAAGTAGGTGGTTGACACTTGGATCATTCTTGTCATATTGAGGCCTTTCGGTAGTTTCCTCCATGGTGCCCTACTTCCACGCGCGTAGCGAAATAGATTGGCGCCCCGGCACATTTTGGGAGGTTGAACTCAGCCTCTAAGGACTGTACGTCAGCTACGATGGCTGAGATGTGGAATGCTTCTTCCTACCGAGTATTCGTGGTTCACGTGAGCGGATGCTGTTGATGGCCCAAATGCCTATGGTGATGATCTGCGTTTTCCGTTTTGAAGCGTAGAGTCGCAAGCAGTCGAAAAAACTCTGGGTGGTTCTGTTGGCGTGCCCTTCACTGCACGAACTACTCTACCAGGTATCATCAATGGCACGTCGTGTTCCAGGTTTGCGTGAGCTACGCTCTACGCTAATTTGATTGTCGGTGCTTCCACATACTCTTACTTGCCATGTGTCGCAGGGCGATGCTTGAGGAGGGAGACTCGCTGGACGCCTCCCCGCTGCTGGTGACTGGTCTGATCCTAGAAAGCCTGGGCAACGTCGGAGAGGCGGCCGTGAGTAGTGGATTTACTTTTTTTATCACCGTAGAGATTGTATCACCGATAATGATTTTGCCGTGATAGGTTTGGGTTATACATGTGACGGGTTTGGCACTACAAGCTGGGCCAGCCAGGTTGTATGAAAAATGGTTGAAAACGATTTACACCACGATTTCTACGAGTTAGAACCTGAAATTTTGATATGTGGTCGATATAGTACAACAAAGACCTTGACTGGAAGCACCCTTTTTTGTCCATTATTCACGAAGTAGCCCAATTTAAGAACAAAGGATGATCCTTTTTTTGTGTATAGGGGGACTAAAAAAAATAAAAATAGAGGGTGCTTCTAGTCAAGGTCCTGGTTGTACTTATACCCATCACATTGCAAAACTTCATATTCCAACTCGTAAAAATCGTGGTGCAAATCGCGATATCCTCATATTCCCTCAGCTATCTTGTTTATTGTATACGAATCTTTACGAGGCCATAACTTGTGATTAAAGATGATTTGAGCCCTGTAACTACCATCTACACTCTCGCACTGCTCTCAGGTACGTGTACACCAAATTTCAGATTCATCTGAAAAACTTTTTTTAAACTGATTTCAGTACCAGAGGTATCGGGTATTACGCAGTCAATTGATCGTGTAATACCTAAATCAACTCAGATTCGAAAAATTCTGGTACCTGCGGTTCCCCTATTGTCTTGTACGAGCAGCTGCCAATTTTCAAGCCTAAACTCGTTTAACGGCAGCGTGAGACGCCACAGAACAAAAGTGACCTTCTTGGCTGGCCCAGCTTGTAGTGACATGTGGGCTTCATGGGATCGCAGTCTTCGAATGGTTGACAAAGAAGTAGACTCGAACAGGCGGTGGCTGGGCGGCTGCTGTCGAAGGCGAATTGCAAGCTGGGTGCTCTGTTTCGCTTGATATTAACACCGGTTATAACGCAATCCTGTTCAGGAGAGTGCGACGAATATGATGTGTAAATCGTCGCTACTTTTCGTCAGAGTGCAGTTTTATCTCTCCTACCTACCTGCCAAACAAAAGCAATCAACAAGTAACCCCCCCGCCCCCCATTCTACACGGTCCGCCTAAACGAAATGTTGGGTTCCATCAACAGGACCACTTTACGAAAGTTGTCCATCAAGATGCCGAGAATCTTGAAGCGACGATGCATCTGGGCGCCTGTCAACAGCGTCTCGGACAGCACCACGAGGTAGGTTTGAAGTTGGACCGTGTGAATCTGCTGCATTGCGGCCGTAATTTGTTTGGCGTAGCTCCTCCGATGTACCAAGGTGTAATGTTGTTGACGGGCCTCAGGGGCCAAGTGGGAAACCTGGACGTTGTTTCCGTTTGAGGAATCGCAAGAAGGCTCTACTTGTGAACGGTTTCAAAACAACGTACTTCTTTCCAGCTTTGGAGAGTTTAACTGCTCCAGTAATCGTCAAAGGTGGACTAAGGGATGTACAACCGTTCGAGCTGGCAATTTGCACGAGACATTGGCTGGTGTACCGTACGCCTCCTGCGGAGATTTCAGCTGCCGAGATATCGCAAGTTTCTACCGCTCTTGCTTGTTTTGGAGGTTCGTGTGACGAGTCGTGTGAGGAAAACGACCTCATATCTACGGTGGCCACTAGCAGCCGAAGAACAAAAAGAGACATGCCAAGTATGGCAAAATGGAAAAGGGTGCCCGGGAGTAGAAACTGTATGCATCCCCGAAAGAGATGCCCCATCAATGGTCAACACCAAGAGGTGAGCAACGAATTGTTATAGTATCTCTTCCCCCGTCCCCCATTCTCCGTCGCAGGCTCTTGCGTCTTTCCTCGCCGCGTCTCGGTTGCAACCAGACAATCCTGTGATTTACGAATCGCTACTCTCTACCGTGAGCGACGCGAAGAGAGCCACCGGCAAGGAGGTCGACGACAATGAAAATGGCGATGTCGGCGACAGAAATCCTGAGCCGGAGGGACACGTTGCTGCAGACGCACTCGATGAAGAGACTTCCCCTGAGCTGGTTGTGGAGCAAGCGGGGAGTGCGAAGTTCGTGGATGTCGAGAGAGCTGGTGGACGACAGGAGGGGAGCAATGATGGCGTCGTAGCCGTCGAGGCAGATCTGGCGGCCCAATCCACTGGAGGCCTCGAGGAACAAGACTCGCTAGACCCACAGAACCTTCGTGCGGTAGACGTAGGGAGCAAACCCCATGGCGAAGGCAGCAAAGCAGGTTTCCCGGCAGCAGCGACAGCAGCAGCGACAGCAGCAATGAAAGAAACGGGGAGGGTGGAGGATTTCGGGCAAGCTGCAAGCAGCGGCGACAGTCGTGGTCATGTGCTGCCGGTTGGGAATGCAGCGAAAACCGTGCCCGGCAGTGGTGGTGCAGGTTCCTCCGTGCGGCAAGACTCGGCTGAAATGCGACGGCAGTCTGAGTCTCTCAGGGACGACGATGCCGTGCCGACGACAACCCGAGGATTTTTCGGCAAGCAAGTGCCAGAGGGACCCACAAAAGCCGCCGTTACTGCCACTCCCTCCGCTGTCATCCTCACTACTCTGACCGGCACAGGTGGGGAAGGGGATGCTAAGGCCGAGGGTGCCGCCGTCGCAAACCTAGCCGATGAAACGCTGTTGCCTCATGATCCTTCACCGGATGGGATCATAGGTGTTCAGCCTTCTGAGGGTATTAGCGGCAGCGAGGACGAGGGCATGGCGATGGCGGTGGACGGCAACGGGCTGGCAACGGGCACACAGGAGACACATGCACAGGGGACACCAGCAAGTAGTAGCGGCACAGAACCCTCTGTTCCAGCGAAGGCAACCGATCTTGATTTAGGCATAATCGAGGAAGCGCTAGCCGTACGACATGACGACAACATTGGTTCAACTATGGCCGGCCGTATTGGCAACCAAGGCACTGCGGATGACATCGAACAAGGCGGAAGGCATGTGCTACCGTCAAGTACTGAACTACCTGTTCCAAACGGTAACGGAAACGTAGAGGGTACGGCTGTGGTAGGTCTTGATCAGGCGGAGGCTTATGCCTTGGCCACACGCAAAACCAAACTTGGCTCGTCGTCCAAGGAAGAGGAAGGGGGGGAGCGTGGCCCAGCGGTACCCGGTTTGGAAGTCCAGGTGGTGGAAGAGGAGGAGGACGAGAAGGAGAACGAAAGGCAAGCGAATGGGAGAACCGTGCCGGCAACAGCTGCTGAAAGAGAGTTCGCATCGCCTTCATTGAACGCCGCCAATGAGGCACAGACACCCGACGGCGCCGCTGACGCCGACAATGAGGGCGACGGCCCTATGGGGTTAGTTGAGGAAGATGGCAGCGTCGATGGAGGAAGCGACTCATTCGAGGAGGGTGACATAGCAAGCCGTGACCCAGTGGCTGATGTCATTCACCCTGCAGAGCCTTCTTTGGGAAACGCTAATGGTAACAAGGTGAGCGGAGATGGTCACGATATCGCCAACAGACTGGGCACCAACAACCCAGTTGGGCCAGAGGACGATGCAACGGCACCGGCTGGCGGCAGCGTTGACGCTGTACCTGAAAAGTCAGTCGACGAGGAGGCGGTGCACACAGTAGGCGAAAAGGCTGTGGTGCAGGGAGAGACAGAAGAAGCCGAGGCACGAAGAGATTCACCTGAGCGGGAGCTGGTAGATGGCGTGGGAGCTGCTGATGTTACGGTGGGCACACAAAGCGAGGAACTCGACCTCCTGCCGACAACAGTCGATACGCCAGGAGCAAATGGTGGCTTCTTCTCGGAGCAAATCACTAATAGCCTGGGAGAGCAAGCCAAGGAGGGTGTTTCAGAGGAATCTATTGATGGGGACAACATCGAGCAAGTCTCTACTAGTCCCGGAGAACATGCGAAGGAGAGTATCACAGAGGACGTTTTGGATCGGGACGACATCGTTGAAGCGCGTGCCCCAACCACTATCGAGGCCGGTACTGCTGATGATGGGACGGATGAAGCCACGGTAGGCAACAGTCGTAGCAGTGGTGACGCTGGTGGTGGAAGCGGGGATATTACTGCCAATGGGGTGCCGAAGGGGCCAGAGAGCGATGAAACTGAGGCGGGTACTGCTGATTCTGTTGATGATGTTGCAGAAGTGCCTGCTAGTCCAATCGTCGTTTCCGAGGACGATGCGAAGCGCGCGCGAGCTAAGGCTAAGCTGGGCATGGCGAAGCTACAGCAGGGTCAGGCGAAGAAGGCCGTGTCTCTGTTCGAGAAGGCGGCTTCAATCGACCCAGGGTGGTGGGGGGGTTTCTACTACGCAGCGCTCGGTAAGTTGTTGAGTTTTGTTGCACAAGCCAACGTCCTTGAAACAGAAGAATTTACGCGATTCACGTGCAGGTGGCGTGAAAAACTGTCTTCTCGTTGTCCAACTACTTCGACGATATTAATGGATGTTTCGGTGCTGTGGTTCAGCATAGTAATATCAGCACACCATCACCCGCCGCTATGCACGTCGTTCTTTTGCAGCTCACGACGCCCTCGGAAACGCAGAAGCGGCCGCGGGTGCTTTGGTCTCCGCGCTGAGCGTCCCAGCCCCAACCGAGGAGAACGAGGTTGCAGGGCTGTCGGCGCTGTCTTCGAAGGTGTTGGCGGCGCTTAGCCGTGGGAAACAGGTGTGTTTGCTCTCTCATACCCAAGAGTCGCGCACCCTTGAAAGGCCCATGCCTTGGCTTGTACACTGAAACTCTCCGCTCCATACAGAGCATGTAATCAGCAAATGTTCAATCGGAACAGGTTGACCAGGAAGGTTCGCGAGAGATACGTTCGACTATGTCTCACACGCAGTACCAGAGATGCGTTCTGAACCCGCCCTTTCTAAATAACTCTCGCAGGTACCGGTGGCGGCTGTTCTCAAGACTGCCATGGATACTTCAGGTTTGACGTTTGCGGTCGCACCGCCCACTCACGACCCACCATCACAAAGGGACCTCGGTAACAGTGGAAACACCAATTCGGTGTCAACCCAAGGCACCGGCGTCGGCGAACGCACCGCTAACATGGGGGGCAGCGCGGTGGTAGAACGGACTAATAGTCGCGGCACAGCAAATAGACCTGGTCGGGAAGCTGACCTTGCTAGCCAATTCGGGAGAGCAGACGAAGCTGCTGGTGCAATTCCAAGCAGGGAAGGACGGGCGAGAGAGGGCTTGGAAAATATTGGCAAGGAGCTGCCTTCTTTAGGGCAACGTGGACCAGCTGGTGGCGACGACGGAGCACGACGAGCTGCAGGGGAAGACCGAACATATCCTGGAACCGCCCGAGGAACGGGGTCCGGAAGGCTGCAACGCGGTGAGGGGTCGCGGGCGCCCACCGATCCGCTGGACCTATGGAATGATCAGGATTTGGATAGAGGAAGAGAGGCACGGGGTGGTGGCGGTGGTAGTAGTAATGCCCCGTCGACATCCGACGTTGGGCACAGGAGACGTTGGGGGCAAAGCGGGGACGGAGATTTCGGAGACGCGGCGGGTGGTAGCCATGGTGCAGCTGCTCCTTCTCCTGGGATTGGCGGGAGTGCTGGACCGCCCATTATGATTGACTCGAAAGCGAGCGCAGATGATATTTTGGCAAGTATGGGGCTGAAAAGTGGGACTGGATTGGGGTCAGACCGGCTGACCGCTGGTGGCGGAGCCAGGACCCCAGAAGATATGATGGCTGCTGCGAGCAGTGGTGGTGGTAATGGTGGTGACCAGCGGGAGAAGAAGGGATTGTTCCGTCGCTTTTGGGATAGACAAAGCAAACGAAAAGAGGGATAAAGAACACATAGAATGAAGAAACAGAAAATAGCGTGCTAGCAGTGTAGTTATATGTGTTGCGTACGGTTTTTTCGAGTGTTGTGATTCGCATGGGATGTGGGTGTAAAAGTTTGGGTGTGGAAATTATCATTTTTTCGGTTGGGAAAATTGGCAAATTCGGGTACTACAGAAGTTTTTTGGTTGTTGTCTTCACCTTCATGAAGAATCGTCCTTGCTCAGTACCTAGTATCCGTACCGGTCCATCTTACGCGTGCGCCTTCCGTCATCCAAACATGTTAATAGGTTGTCGTGACACTCCTCCCTTCCTTGCTCCGAGATACTCAGGCTGTCAATCTAATCGATCCCGAATGTGATGGTTTTGAAAAACATCTCACCGAAAGCTCTTTGTACTTACACGCATCGATCGGGTTTCGCACCCTCTTGGTTGTTTCTGTGGAGCACTTCATCTTCGAGAATCGACCGCAAACCTGCACGTTCACTCACCCATGTTTTGACGGCGAAGCTTGACTGAATTGAAACCTACATGGAACACTGACCGTCACATGCAAGACAGGCGAACGCCCAGAACGCCCTCCAATTTTGAAGCACACAGACGAATGGCGCAGTATCATCTCTTCGTCGACGCCAATGAGAACACCCTCACTCTGTTACCAGTAAAGGTCCCTGAAGTGGTGAATAACCGTTCACCAGTGGAGGTAATTTCGCTCTTGTTGCAATGTGGCGAGGAATTGCCAAGCGCGGCTGACTTTAGTCGGCTGTGCTAGGTTGAAAGGCGAAAGTGAGCGTATGGGCCTGCTTCCACTCTTCGGCTGACCACAACAGGCGGAGAGACTTATCTTTGTAGTCTAAACATCTTCAGACCTCAGGAACAAAGTTCGTTGTGTCTCGGATCCTACGGTTGTAGACTATGTGCGTCACTACGGCAGACTACTACTGCTGTAGGAATATACATAACTAGACTAGACAATATCATCCTGATTTCTACAGCCCGGCAGCGTAAATGCATCTGTGCAAACCTGCAGCATCATGACCTCGCGTCATGCGTCTGTGCCCGCGTGTTCTGTCTCGTATTGCGCCCTCCTTGCCCTGCTCCCGGTCAGGCGTTTTTTGACGTTACAAAAAAAAATGTGCGGTGATCACGTACTTGAGAGGACGGGAGCAGTGGGAAAGTGGGACACATGTTTCGTACGGCGCTATTGTACAGCATGAGGGAACGTGGTTTGCAGGAGCAAAGCTTGAGTAGCTGCAGGCTCTCCCTTTCCTCGGGTTAAATTACGGCGGAGAGCACAGCGACCCGCGAAGAGCAAGTTCTACGAAACGATACGATGTCCCTCCGGAATCTCCGTGTCCCTTCCTCAACTACACCGCTGTGGTACTTACTGCCTTGAGTGGGCGTCGTTGTGCGTTGTGTACATCAGTGCACAGAGTTCCTGCTTATGACTTCTTCAGCAGGAATATACGCATGTACCGGGAGGCGATGGATACTTCGTCGCTCAAGAATGGTCGCTCACGTCCGTGCTGGCTTCTTCTCAGTGCTCCTGGTTACGGTGTCTCAGCTTCAGGCGTCCCAGGCGGCCTTCACTTGTTCCGGAGGGTATACTTCCTGTCCGGACAAAAACTTGCAGGTTGGTGGTGGTAGTGGTGGTGCAGTTGATGACAGAGCTGCACTGTAACGCTGCAACAGATTCGTGGTACTTATCTATCGTGCACAATGTGCTGGTTGGTGGACATAATAGTCGACAACAAACGTATCAACGGCGGACCAACAGCAGTCCACCCGCATCTTTCGTCTAGTCTACAGCACATGGACTAGAGCACGTACAAAAGACTACTGCGGTACGTACACAGCAGTCCGCACACTACGATAGTACATCCAAAGGGGTGTTGTGGGTGGGCGGTCGGCGGGAAATCACTTATCTTCTCTTTCGTGATGCCGCCCGAACAAAGATCGTACGTACACAGGCACACACACAGCTGCATGTGCTGCGGGTTTCTCAGTGCAACGAATCGTGGCTCAGGTTATTTTTTTATGTAGACTACTGCTGTAGACTATGTACTACTATATTTTAGTCTAGTCTGTCTGTTGTCTCGATCTAAATGTTGTCAACACCCGTGTCTGATGCACCTATAGACCATGTAGACTAAACATTGCCACAAGACCCCAAAGTACTTAGGTAGACAACTGCTGCAGCGAATGTGCGCATGCACACTGCGGACGTGTTACAACAGCCTATTGGTAGGAGTAGTTTACAAGATGACCAATGCGATGGATGGGCACAAGACGCCTCCAAATTCGATCGGCACCATTTTTCGCTACCAACCAACCCCCCTCTCACCGTCCACACGCATTTTATTACTTCCTACCGAGATACTTCGTATAATGGAAAGCCCCAGAAAACAAGAGTGGACTATCCAGCATTATCTCACAGAGGCTTGTAATGCTCGCGCCTTACCGTCGACAAAAATGCACGATGATGATAGTGGTCCCCCCACCCCCTACGCTTCCCCCGGTGTCCTGCTCGTAGAGTCATTCCTCAGGTGGTCGGGTGCATGCTATTCTCCACCGGGCGATTAACCTGCCTGACGCCGACATTCACCAGCAGAGCGGTCTCAGCGATCCTTATGTCAAGTTTTCCGTGGGAGCCATCGCTGCTCAGTCATCCGTGGTGGACGAGACTCTCAACCCGGTGAGAATAGACAAGAGGAAACTGAGAATGAAGCATTAAAGTGAGAGGAGTGTAGAGTACGGCCTGGACTGGAAAAGGATTTCGGGATACACACGTACGTTTTGGTCATCATGTAGACTGCGGAGGGTTGGGAGCAGCGGCCAGTCAAGATCGAAATGGCTGACACGGAAGTGCAACCGTGAAGCACACGTTCCGTCCATCGGGAGTAGTTGGACGAGCGGGATGGGGAGGGACTGTGGGTAAAAATCAGGGTTGAATGCTTTCATCTCATTCCTTTCACAAGGAGGTGGCGGAGGTGGCGAGGCCTGCGGCAAACTTAACAAGGACGGAAAAACTCCCCCTTCAAACGAATGCCTCCAAAGGAGTTATCTGAAAAACATGACGGACTGTACGTCATCCACATGTACAAAATCCTAAATGAGGGATGCGGGCCTGACGAAAACGGCGGGTTAGAGCCGGGGGCTGGACTACTGTGTCGATTTCTTTTCACCACTTCGACCACGCGTTCAATGACTAAAGCGCATGCTTACCCCCCTTCACTGCCCGCACCTAACCCCGTCCTCCTCGCACGATTCAAATGTACCGCTCCTTGCCCACTTGCTGTGTTCATTTGTGTTGCAACAGCAATGGCAAGAGGAAATAGATCTTGGCTTCCACAATTCGGGCGAGGTTGTCACCATTGAAGTGGTCGATTCAGATAGCGGCTTGGAGTTCGGCGATGACTTGCTGTACAGCGTGGATGTGCGTGTGCCGTGGTGCAGCGCTTTCCATGCCAATGCCACCACAGCGGACTGCGGCGAGGAATACGCTTACAACTGTGACGTTCAGGTATGCAGATGCTCGTGTAGCGTTGCAGCCATGAAAGTGGTTCGGAAAAAATGTGTTGTGTCGGTGGTATGGATTTCGTGAAGTTGGGGGTAGGTTCCAAGATGGCTTGAGCTAGTCGAAGTCGTCTGTGACCATGGTGCTGGCTAAAGTGGGCGGGTGCTACTGCAGCGCATCGTTTGGCCGGTTACGTCTCGTGTTTGAGAAGACAAAGTGGCCCCTTAGCGGACCGAACCGACACAACCTCACGCTTAGTAACGGGTTCCTTTACAACGAATACCTTGTTCAGCACTCACATCCCTGGCGTTCTTCACTCACCCACACGCAACTTTAACTTCGATTTCGATCGGACTTCCACCTCATTTTAACCAATAGGCTTCGCACGTTGCTCGATTTCTCCGTATCAGAGACACCTCCGACCGTTCAATTCCGTTTCACGCCGAATTCAACCCAGGGAATGGCTTGGGCGATGCCCACGCAGCCGTGGTGCAACGAAACTTCTTGGGTCTACCTCGGGAGCACCAGCGACTCCGACGGTGGGGAGGCCGATTGTGGCGACGACCAGGCCGAATTCTCTTGCCTGTGGCTCGAGTTCACTATCATACCGTTCCAGGTCGGTTCTTCATGTTGTGCATGTGCATGAAGTTGTCATTGTTCGTGGGCTTAAAGGCAGGGTCCGCAGTGTTCGCCACAGGGCGAGCATGAGGTAAAACACGTGTCTGGCAGAAGCACAGCGATCAGAACTCGCCCACCACCACCTCTCCCAGAATATCCCCAACAATCTTTTGCGATGAAGCACATGTTGAGATGAAGAACAACCTGCCGTGCGCCTGTCGGGCATGATGAACAAGATGACACGGCTGCGATGCGTGCAAAAGGGGGCTGGCAGGTGTATATGCGGTCGCTAGGCTCGAGTGCTGGGTTGAGTAAAGGTGCACGCGTCACTGCTGCTGCCCGCTGTTCCTGAACTCTCGTCGCCCTCGTCCTGCGCTCCGGCAGATTTTTTTCATAGGTTAGACCGCCTTAAAGACAGCCACAACCCCCTTCCTTCGGAAGTCGACCCCTTTGACTCATCAGCCTCTTGTTTTACTCTATTGTTGCTGTTGGGGATGGGAACGCACAAAATATTCAACGAATTGCACGTCAGGTGGAGGTAGAAAACACCTACGAGGGTGACCAGTTTCTCGTGACGGTTGCGGACTACGACGGGGATTTCGCGAACGACCCAGCCTACGACGACTATGGCGTCGTATATCGTAACATACCACAGGTGAAACATGTGGTGCACCACAACACGTTGAAATAACAAAAATGCATTGTCGGTGAATATCGGCGTACCTCGTGCAATGATATCCTGCTCCGGCATTGCGGCATCCCCTTCGAGGTGGAAAAGAAACACCATGGCGGGGAACTTTCTCGCCCACAGCGGTTGTTTCGCTTGCTGCGTGTGGGTAGACGTGTTTGTGTTTCATTTAGTATACAACGTTAATCAGTAGGGTCGTGTCCGCAATTTGAATAAATTTGCGAGTCACAGAATACCTGGTTAATACTTGAAACTCATGCCCTTCTGACGGTTGTGCGTTGATGACCACGCGGTGGCCACACAACACGCAGCTTCTAGACATTAACGGGGGGCTCTTTGACGAAATCCGCGGTGGCATCATGGTGAGGCCGGACAACACAGTGGCGGGCACAACAGGCGGTGGGAAGGTGGTTGACTTTTCAATCAACGCAGACTCTACCGTCTGGGTGTGCAAGTGAGCTACTGTCGGAGGCTTGATAAAATTCCCACCCACGCTTATCTCATCAGACTACCTTGTCCTGCTGTCGACACTGAGAGCGATGTGAAAAGCAGCTAGCTGTAACCCGACGGGAGATTTCTTCATCGGCGCTGCCGATTGAGTTGCGCATTCTTGCACAGTGGCATGTGCACAAACACCTATGCATGTTGGAGGTTGTTTTCGCTTTGGTTTCGAGTGTATTGTACATCTCTACTTTCTTGTTTACATCAGACGTGTTTCCCTTACATCACACTTCCATTGTTCGGCTTACAGCCTGATCTACAACGTCCTTTCCGTGCTGATCGGTCGTGTGTGGCTCGGATAGGTTCACGCCTTCCTCGATCATGGGAAAACATCACCAATATCCCATGTTTGTAGTCCCACCGCATATTCGTTAGCTTAGAGCCTGGGCCTGCAGATCCACCCCAACTTGTACGACGTACCTTGGGAAGGGAAATCTGTCGGGCAGGGCACACAGTGAAAATAGGCGGCGGATGCGAGCTCCCATCACGACCGTTTGCCTATTTACTGCCACATCCACCTCAGTATTCATATAACGGTCATCAATGTTCGTGTGTGCATTGTCTCTTCGCTTGTGCTGGGTGATGCAGGTGGGATGAGGATACTACTTCCTACGGAGACCCTTCTTGGCTGACGGAGGATGGTTGGCACTCAACATCGGCGGTGGGTTGTGGGGTTGATAATCGATTCTCGAGGACGAGCTTCTGTTGCTGTACCCAGCGTTGGCGTCAGCTCGTGGACAGCTGTTTACCGGAAATGGTTGTGGTTTACTTGGCTAGCGGCTGGACGGGCGGGGTACCTTTCTTGTTCCGTTATTTCCTGGCTTCACTGGCATATTGTTGACGTTTACTCTCGCTTCTCATCGTGCTGGCGACGGCACACAAACAACGGACATCCGATGTGTATGTGGGGGTATGGTTATTGTTATTTTCGCCTTAACAATGCATGCTATCATTTTCCCCGGCAAAACTCGCCCATGATTGAGCACGACTCCAAATGGTCGCGTCCACCACTCCATCCTCATGCGTTCTTGCTCAACCTTGTGCATCGTCCCGGTATGTTGAGCCTCGCATTGTCGGTTGGCGCTCTACTTCTGTTTCTATGCCATTGCGATCTATCGACGAAGAGGGGCTGGAGAGAGGGGCGGGGCGTACTCTTATGTTTTGCATGCCTTAGCACTTGGACCATTGACCACACGTCCTCGAGAGGACGGAGCATTGTTCCAACAGGACCGATCACCAATGGCCAATCGCTCCTTCCTACTTTGCCAAAGGTGGCTCAAAAATGTCTTCCCTAGTCTCTTTATGTTATCGATATCACTTCCCACCTTTTCAACCCACTTTCTATTCCCCAGTACGGCTATCGTATTTTCCTCGCTATTCCATGCCTCAAACATCTCGCTCTACCTTCCTTGTATTTTTCCCAGTTCAGTCATGTGCACTTCCCCCTCCTTCTTGTACAACGAACACTCCGCAACTACATGGACCTGATCTTCGCAATCGGCGTCGTAAACCCATTTGAACTTGTCGTCTTCATCGTCTTCCTACCACAATCTTCGTCGACGTTCTCGAAGGTCGGGGGAGCTCGTTTTTATACGCCACTACCGTTCCACGCTATTTGTCTTATTGTAGTAGCTCCTTTTGCCCAGCGTCTGCGGGCGGTAATAAGCGAAAAAATGTGTACTTGCTTTGCCCTGTCTGCCCGTTCGTGACCGAATGCTCGCAACACGAAAGGAAAAGGTTTGAGTATTGTTATAGGATGAAAAGAGCCCTCTTCGGCAACACCTGCTAGGTTGAGTTGGCAATCCAACAAGGAGAAGGTTAGAATCCCAGCGACGGTGGGCATAACCTTGCGTTACCGTGATTGCCCACCCACCGCGGAAAATGACCCATGGTAGGTGAGGGGGTACCTTTTAGAGTACGATGGCTTCTTCGCCTGCTGGAGCAAGGCGTTTCCGGCGACGCAGCGCAACCACTGGGGGGGGCTCGAGTCCGACCCGGTAACGCTCTATACAAACGGCGTTAATGGGGCGGAGAGCTGGATGTACATGGTCATTGTCGTACCCGCGGTGAACACTGAGGTATATAATGCTGAATTTCAAACGAGGACAAGAAGCAGAAGCTGTTATAAGTTGTAAGAATGCCTCATTCTCTGTTGTGGAGGTGACTCGCGGTGGCGAAGTAGTGCACTACTTAACTTGAAGCGGCTCGGGAAGATGAATCTCGTGGGTGATCCAGGGTCATAGCTACGAATCACAAACAACGAGCATTGCCGCCAAGTAGTTTGAGGCCGTGCTGACAAAGCGGCGTCCATAGTCTTACGCTTTTCACTACTCTTGTTCGATGGCACTCATACGCTGATCTGTCTCGTAAGGAGAGCTTGACGGGATACAGCCACAATCTCGACTCGAAGGCCTTCTGGAACCGATTCTTGGAGCACATCTTCGCCGTCCTATTTTTCGCATGGCTCTCGGCGGGGTTCCTCGCAAGAAAGGAGTTCCGGGTTGATCTCACAGAGCCTCACCTCATGGAGGTACAGTGGGAATATCGGTGGAACGAAGACGAGAAACAACACTTGCTAGAAAACCGTAGAGCACACCCAACACTGACAGTAGCTTCCACGACACATGCGGAAGATATCTCGGAGCCATCGACGTTTGTAGGTGGAACCATCTTATCTTGATGCTGTCGTGTAAGTCAAATATACAACACCGTGGCCTACGACCAGAAGGAAATCTAGCAGAAATCGAGAAATTTCTGATTAAACTGCACGAAAACCTCTTCGACAAACACAAAATCGGGGGGGTGGGGAAGTGTACTCATGCAAGTAGTCGTGCATGCCGCAGTCGTCAGACCATTGACCTCGCATCCCTACAAAGCCGGGACGGAGCACGCCGGGTTCTCACCGGACCAGGCTCTCACATCACCAAGCGCGAAACGCCGTGAAATATTCGGCGAGTCGCATGAAGGGTGCGCTGCATCCTGCTAAGGGTGTTCGTCATCTTGTGCTTACTTCCTTGCGTACGGATGACAGCTGCGTATGACTTAATTTATTGTCTGGTGCTTTCACTTCCAGAGACAGTTGTAAGCACTGTGTAACTGCCTCGAGGGTGGTTGACCAATTCAACACAACGTGGTGCGATTATCCCCTTTGCGTGGAGTGAGGGTTCGTGACCCCGCACAACATGATCTACTCGACCACCATTATGGTTACCGCAAAAAAAAAAAAGAAAAAAAATTGGTAACCTGGTTGCCGAGCTCACGAAGTGATCGGCTTGTTTTACAACATCGCTGCCAAGCGACGAAAACTTAACCCCGATGGCAAACACCGCGGGCGGCGGCCTGTTTTACAATGCCTTTGCCACGCGACGAAANCAACATGATCTACTCGACCACCATTATGGTTACCGCAAAAAAAAAAAAGAAAAAAAATTGGTAACCTGGTTGCCGANGGGGGGGGGGGGGGGGGGGGGGGGGGGGGGGGGGGGGGGGGGGGGGGGGGGGGGGGGGGGGGGGGGGGGGGGGCAACACCACATACGCGTTTGAAGTTGGTAAGGCTGGTCCACAAGACATTGGTGAACAACGATGAAATGCGACAGACGGCGGTAGCGCAAGGCAAGCAAAGGAGCGTGCTGCGCCATCTACTGGCGACCCACGGCAAGTCAGAGAAAAACGCCATCTTCAGGAGAAACCTGTGCTTGGCAGCCTTCTCGACACGGTTGTCGCTGCTGGTCCCGGTGGTGGCGCTGTGGGCGTGGGGACTGGCCATGGTCATCACGGTGAGCATCTCACCATATACATGTCTCACAAATGCACGATTAGATATCACGCACGAACGGTATACACGTTGTAGCGACCGCCCGGGCAGGAGCGTTGGCGTAACCTCGACAACTATCTTGCGGATAGTGTGGTAGTTCCACTCCCGGCGACACGTGACCTTTCTGCATTTCGCCCGGGTTGTAGAACGTAGTTCTTGGTGAGTACACATAGGGAAGGAACGCCGAAACTCTAGATACTGGTTCAGAAATTGGAGGCTTGCACAGCAGATTTTTTTTTTTTTCTGTGGCCCAGGACGGGAGCTCTTCGGTCAGGGAGGAAACACCACAGGGTACAGGTAGAAGCCGCAAGCGGCGGTTGACAAATTACATCGATGGCGAAAATGTTAGGTAGGTAGACAAGTGTGACGTGGTGGGCGTGAGGACAGAAAACCCGAATGACGGCATTGATTCGCGCAATAGGGCGCGTTTGAGTCGATCCATCCTTGACAAACCTGACGTCCGAAGCATCGTTGCGTCGGCGTGTTTACGTCGTGCTTGCGTCCTTGTTTACCGTCTGCAAATTTGGTTGTCTTATCAAAGAGGTTTCGTTCGTTCGACCACAAATGCATGACCTCTATTCTTTCACGTGTTCCGTACCACTTCTGTATCCGCATGAGCCCAACTGTCTTGATCTCGACGTTTATCGACAGGTTAACCCCCCGGCGGTGGGTTTCCTGTTCTGCTTTATTGGCACGTCGTTGGTTATGGGCTGGTACGGCTACAATCACTGGAAGTGAGTCAAAAAATCTTGAAGATGTTTTCTGGGAAATGTTTTTGGCTGCTGGGGAGGTTGGGTGTCGGCATGTGATTATATGCTCGGATGCTTGGATGGAGCCCCATTGTTTCAAACGAAAGACTCGTTGCTTACCCTGCTTTGGCCAAAACACAGCAACCGAGCCCCATTGTTTCAAACGAAAGACTCGTTGACCCTGCCTTGGCCAAAACACAGCAATCACATACGTTCCCCCGGCCCCCCCCCCCCGCCTCTCTCTGCTTGGACACTTCACTCAACCCCACGCCAAAAGACCCCCCTCCCCCCTATCTTGTACCACACCCCTACCTCCTTGCCCTCCACACCATATTTGGAAAGGTCTCGCGGGTGGATGATGACCTGGCCTTCGCTAGTCTGCATCCTGGGGGCGGTCTTCTTCCTTATGGCTTCCCTAGCAGCTGAGGTTTTCGTCGATCCCGCGGCGTACTTCGGGTCGGGAGACCTAGATTTCTGCGGCCTGACGGGCATCTTTTTCACCCTGGACATGCTCCCGCTTGTGTTTTTGCTCTTCTCCAACGATGCAAAGGTGAGCCGCATGCACTCGTATTTGAATGTTCTGGTACAAAGTGGTATCTGTCTCGAAGCGCTCTTCGCGAGCTCGATTTCAGCAATTGCCCCCATATTTTTTTGTCTTAATGGACTGTGTTTGTTGTGCTGGAGCGTGTTAACAAACCGATATATGTCGGTCTCTTCTCCCAGCCACCCACTTTAAGTTTACCTTCCCTCGATGTTTTATGAAACATAAACCGCGCACCATTCCACGACAACAGCTACAGCGCTCGGTCAATAAGCTCGGAGCCGTGGTGGGACAGGTCACCCGCCTCGAGGAACTCAAAGGGACCAACTCCAAGTTTGTGAGTCCAAGTTCGTCTCTGAAAATACCAAGTGGTACAAGGGCAGATATTATGTTGCGTGCAGCGAAGGGGGTGATGAGCGTAAACAACGCGACGGGGGCATGCACTCGGGCAGTGACCTCCGGGGAAATAACGTTCAATGCCCACAAGCCTTCGATTGTGATCAATCCATTCCATGTTTTTCCCATTGTCCCCATCAGCAAACGTTTTTGTAACGTGATGTATAATATGGAACGGCCAAAGTTCAACATTGTTCAGATACTCTGGTAGCAGTAAGTAGGGCAACGACACTGCAACAAATGCTCGACTTGGTTTCTGTCATAGTATGGAAGTGCCGGCCAAAATTATGCATGGTTCCTTTGTTTTCGGGCAGTCGCCAACGCTCAAGCGTACGCTATCGGAGGAGATGATGCTGAACATGGGCGAGGTGGAACGGCCGGGGCCGAAGCGGGACGACGCGGGCGATGCGGGGGAGCTAATGGCCAAGAACCCCTTCTACTCTCTTCTCGGGGACTGCTACACGATCGTGGTGCGCGAGACTACTACTGCTGTTACTATTATAGAGGAAGCAGCAACGCTTGGGAGTATATTTTGACTTGCTTTTAGGATGGAAAGAACAATAGACAACGCCTTGAAGAAACGTAGAGCACACCGCTCTACCCGATCTTGTTGTCACTGTGAGGTTTTGGTGGTGGCGCTGGTTGTTTCATCCTTGCAAGATATTCCCGACAAAGCCACGAAAGTCTTCACCATCCTGGTGCTTAAGAGCCCCTAATACCATCCCTACAAAAGGAGTAGTTGCGATATAGGTCATACTTCCCCGAGATATATGTCCGGTTTCAAAAGACGGGATTGATCAGTGCAGTTCGTTCGTTCGCGTTTAAACATGGACGTCATCTCGATACGCTGCTACTGCCGCTGCTGCTAACGCTTCTGTGCCGCTATGCGCTTGTTGAGCAGGCTTCGATACAGACTTTCCGTTTCAGTGACCTGTTGTCGGCCACCATGCGAACCTCGCTCACCAAGAAGAAGCGGCGGAATAGATCCCTGTACGCACTGTCCGTGCTCTTCCTGTTGGCGTATCTTACGGTGTCGGCTGCGAGGACGTCGCACGCACACGTGAGAGAAAGAGATGGCGACAGAGAAGGCGTGATCAACGTCTGTCTAGATTTCAACTAGCAGAAAGTAAAAGCTTTACACCCACGGCACGAGTATTAAAGATGTGACGAACCAACTGCTATTCTACCCCCCCCCACCGAAGTCCTTACAATAGTAACAAATGCTGATCAAAATTTCCTACCCCTATCCCACTGCGCCTTGCACAAAACAGCTGTCGCTCCTCAACATCATCACCCTGGTCCTCCTGGACAGCTGTCACTACAGCATCCACCGCGGGTCTACCTATTGGTCTCCCGGGTATGGCGTCATGCTCATGGCGGCCGCCCGTGTGTCCATCATTGCGTGTATGAGCAATCTTTGGATCGTGGGCTATTCAATCGCGTTCGTGATCTATGGCGGCGCCCTCATTCGCGCGGTAAGTTGCTTTCCCTCTGTTCCAGCCTCCTGCCCTGCATCTTTCGGAGTAAGACAAGTACTTTTCACAACGAGGAAAGGGATTTGCGTCAGGCCAGTCCACGTTGAAGCTGGAGAGAGCGGGGGAGGGCGAGGCACGGGGGAATGACGGGACAAAGGGAAAAGTTCCAGGTAGGGGGGCAGAGGACGGCTGTTGAAAAGGAGCACCTGCTGGATCTGAGTGCGAAGAAAGTGATATTCTCTTAACAAGAATATCGTTTGTGTGTGCGCGCACAGCGGGCTACTGGATCTGAGTGCGAAGAAAGTGATATTGTTTTAACAAGGATATCTTTGTGTGTGCGCGCACAGCGGGCTACTGCTCCACGCATTGATACTACTCGGAGAACACCTCTATACCTCATCCCTTACCCGTTAAACCTATCTTGTTGGGTGCGCGCGTCTCTCTCTCCACTCCTCGACTCCGGTTGTCTTTCCCACGGCTGTGTGTTCATCCTGAGCTCGTTGGACTAGCGTGGCACAACCCCAAAACTGCCTATTGGTCGTGCGCCATGAAATCGCCGGACACGACGGCAACCACCATGCCTTTTTCCTCGCCTCCCTCCCACCCGACTTTTACGTACATGGTACGTTACAATCCCCAGGTAGTAACCCACCGCCTGCCGCGGTTGAATCAGGAGGAAGCTGGGGCCGTCGTGTTTCTTGGGCATGACCCGAAAGGCGTCAAGTGTGACGACATCGCGGCGAACCCCGAGGTACCTACCGTGCCAACTGGCCAGCTTGACCGTGTTCTGTGTACTACTGGCGCATATGTGTCTATATATCTGTCTGATGAAAGCAGAATAGGTTGGTTAGTTCATGCACGACACTCAACCTTGTTCGGGTTCACGGCCTGAAGACTGGTGCACGTCCTACGACAAGCTTCACTTTTATTTGCTGTCGACGACCTGTCCTGATTGGTTGACGCACGCTGCTGCCTATTCACCGAATTTGATGTTGCTGTCTTGGTCATGATCTTGACTGTTGTCGCCGTTCCTCTTGTCCTCATGTCTAAAATAGTTGGTCCTTGGGTACACCAGCCTCTACTTCGTTCTCGTTCTCGTCGTACTGGCCTACGCCGAGCCGTCGGGGCTTTCCACACCGTCGATCCGCGTATGGGGGCAGGAGTGGCCGGCCTACATCTTCACGCTCACGGGGGTTCTAGTGGTCATGTCTTCTGGCCTTTTTGTGGCATGCCTCAGGTGAAATCAACAGGAGCTGTGCTATTGGTCGCTTGTCATGGGTGTTGGGGGCGTTGCCGTCGTCCCAAGGCCGATCCCAACCCCATCTTGGCTGGTGTATGCTATCTCCCCTGTCGTGAACATTTCCACGAAACGCACGCTACTTTACATTCTGATCAAAACCGCCCGATATTATGTCGAGTATGGAAATGGTTACTTCTCTTGGAGTTCACCCCTTTCGGCAAGCAACAACGGCACGGGTGAGCACTTTGCTACAAAATCATCGACCGCTTCCCCCTCCGTCCCAGCGATGAGTCAAAACTAAGCTAGTTGACGCTAGGGTAGCATATCACCGACTCCTCTTTCCTTCCTCTTCGCGCTATCTCTTCCCGCCGTAAAACTCCTCCCGTTCTCTCTCTCGTGGCAGGTCCTTGTCCCTAGGTAAGCAGGGTCTCCTCCCAGCCAAGCTCGGCGCCGCCTACATGTGGCACCCCGCAGTGCGCCTGCCGACCATCCTCGCGGTCGCGACGGGATTGTCGGTCTTGTGCACGGGACTGTTGGTCTGGGCGGCGACGGGTTCCTCCGCGACGTTCAAGGTGTCCCTCTGTCTGCCCGCCATCGTTCTGCTTGGCCGTTCGACGTACAGGTACGTTTTGGGCCGGTTTCAGAGAGAGGGCATGCGCAACGAGCAAAACGTATCCTGAAATGAGAAAGCGATGTGCCTTCGTTCGGGGTAGGTGGCAGAGAGTGTATGAGTCAAGCATGTCGCGTTCTCCAAAGAGGGGCGAGGGTTGTGGTTCGATTCACTAGAAAGTCAATGGAATTGTCATTTGGTTGCTTCATGGCTGCTGTTGCTGTCGCTCTCGTCATCTCGGGACCCCGGGTTCTCAGTAACGACTGCTGTAGCTCGTGTAGCCCGATTTCTTAACTGGAAGAAGAGGCAAGGAAAGACTCCACCTCCTGTCAGCTCCTGAGGCTGGCACACCACTAGAAGCCTTCTATGGGACCATCTCGCTAGTTGTCTCTGCGGCACTCTCTCTCTCTCTCTGGCACGCTAAGACTCTGTGGACACAAGGCTTGAACAGAATGGTAACACATGCGACTCCTCCTCTCGACCGAGGGGGCCCCGCAGTACGCAATACGCTCCGGGTACCACAATATAAACAGTATGGCAATTGGAGCTGTTTCAATAAACCTCGGTTTGTTTCGTCGACGCCTTTGTCTACGCCTTAAACAAGCCTGCCCTTGTTGTGGTGGCGTGTTGGCACTTATATCTGCGCCCATGTTTAGTCTGCTGCAATGTGTAGTTGGCAATAGCCGTGTGGTTAGGCTTGTCACTTCATCACGTACGTAGAATAACACGCTGCCTTGCAATAAATAACCTAGGCCGTTATCTTCCTTTGTCTGGGAGCGGCTCAACATGAAAAATTATTCAGATCAATGGCAATTACAACAGCAACAACAACAGCAACCACATTCTGATTAACGGGACAGTCGTTGGGTCAAGAACGACTACGAACTGGTACGCTGGCCCCCAGACGTCGAAAAGGATAAAGCAGCTGGAATACACGTCGCCGGCGAAGAGCAGGAGGATGATACACCTGACGCGGCACAGGTATGATACACGCTCCCATCCAATAACGTACCGTAAACTCGAGCGCCCCCGGTAAATGTACAGGGGTGCCACTAACGCGCGCGGTGTCGATAGTTGCCTGGACGAAGAGAAACAATTGTTATGGTGAACAAAGTACCACCGGTATGATACACCCCCCCATCCAATAACGTACCATAACCTCGAATGCTCCCGGTAAATGTATAGGGGTGCCACTAGCGCGCGCCGTGTCGAAACTTACCAGAAAGAAGAGATTAAATTGTTTCAAAAAACTATCACCGGACTTTGACAATGGTGCCAAGGGTAACATCGTAACCTTGGCTTACTTTACGCTATTTGCATCACGTCGGGTTGTGCAACATCATTGTCAGCTCGCCGCCGGCATGCTTGGGGATCTGTTCAGTCCTGGAGATTTCGGAGCTTCGGACGGCGGCGGGATTAAAGATCAAGGGAGGGGGAAAACAGGAATAATTCTGCCTGAATTCCGCCCCACTGGTGAGTTTCCAGGGTCACCCTGAAGGGCAGGGTAAATACCCAGTCCGCGAGGTAGTCGTCCCGTAGCGCTCGTTTGACGGAAATGTGTCCGAACATCAGAGAAGTACCTCGGGGCCGTTGTGTTCCAACGTATCGTAAAACACCGTATTTCAAGTACTCTCGTGAGCAAGCGGCACAGGTAGTAGATGCCTTGGGTCCATACCATGATGTTGCTCGAGGCGTGGCTACCCCGCTTATTGGCGTGTTTCGTCCGGGAACGAGCCTGGCTCCATAGCCTCACAGCAGGACAATGGCGGTCTGTTTTTAACAGATTCGATTGGACCTTCTGTCGCCAATCTAGAGCGTACACCGTTGCGCGGCAATGTCGATAGAAAGAGAGACACCTGCAGGTGCCGTATAAGCACGAGAGCCATTCCATTGCTCACAACAGCAACCTAGTTACGTGACCCTTTGCTATATCAATCACATTGGTAGGTGTCCTACGGTCCTACGAAGACGAGAAGCAACGCATCAGTGGGCGTTTTGTGACGATACGATGGGCGAAACAGGCTCAAGAGGAAACGGTATACGTACATGGACGCAGTTACTTACCAAAGCAACGTGTGGAATGCTGCACAGCTTCGCTTGCCCGATAGTGCTCCGTTCTCAGTTAGACCTCGTCGACCCCGCAAACCATCCCCTCCATCCCCCACTCAGGCGATGCCTTTACCGGCGATATCCAGATGCCGGTGCTGCCCCTCAAGAGCGCTTTGCAGCGCACGCGTGCGGCTCAGCAGCGAGGAGCGGTACCGGGGGGGGGGGGAAATGAGGTGGGGTTAGCGAACCTACACCTGGCACATCGTTTGTTCACGCTTGAGCTGCCTCCTCGTATGCCCGATGGAAAGGTAGCGACAAATACCGGGGCACCGGAGGGCAGTTGACTCTACCTTTTACACTTCGAGCTGCTTCTTCTCGCGGTGATGTACGTGATTTGCCCAGCACAATAACGAATTGACAGAAAATCGCGTGGAGTTAAGCCATCCACACACCAACTAGTGCCTTCACGCCAGCCTCTAATTTTCGTGTCGACGTATAGACTATTAGCGAACACACAGCGAGAATATGAAAACTTCCTTAGATGTAAAACGATCACAAGCCCTTCTAGCAAGCCCGTCTAGCAAGCTCTTCTTGCCTTAAAACAGCTCAGCAGTTCCCGCGAGAAACAGTAAAACATAATCAATTCAAACAAAGTACGTACAACAATCTCCAACCGAATCGTTTTACAGGGAGCGAGCCTGCTGCACAACGAAGAATACGACGGCGACGGGGACGAAGGGGTCGGGGCGACCTTCGCGCAGTCGGAGGAAAAGGCCCTCGTCAGGCCCAAGTATGTGAGAAAGCAGCAGGGGGACGACGCCGCAGTGGGGGCAGCGGGCGATGTGGGAAGGGAGGGGGGTGCCGGAGGGGAAGAAGTGGGCGTCTGGACCAGGGCCGGGGTGGCCCTCAGCCAGTTTCTGGATGGAAAGGGGTCCTTGGGCGTGCTGTGTCGGAAGTGTCGCCGGAAAAAAAAGGTGAAGGCATGTCCGGCTGGTGAGGTGTGGTTTTTTATGCATCGCCGCTCACGATTCCTGCAAGGGCGTAGGTCATCGCGGAAAATAAAAAGGTACTCTTTTAGTTCCGGGCCTCGCGGGGTGTAACCTCTAGGCAATAAATTGTGCACTATCGTCATTGGCAGCAGAGACTATTTGCGTTGTCGATGCTAACAGCCTCGGTACTGCGTGTCCATACAACAACTTTGTGACCCTATCGACAGGCGTTGGGAATAATTGATCATCGTGCATAATGTTTTGGTGGGTGTTTTTCGCTCACGAAAAAACAAACCGCTTTGAAAACACCACAAAGTTCGCTCTGGGTGGTATGTTGCGAAAGGTCGCGACCAAACTGCCAAGCCTTCCTCGTGTTTGCCATCGCGACAGATTGGAGCTTTCGAAGATGGCGTCGACGGCGAGGGAGAAATAGGGGAAGGAGACGTCGGGTACGGCACGCTTCCTGGCAGCGACAGGAACGGCGGGGGCAACCAAGGGGATAACGCGGACGAGGAACTGGGCGAGGTTTGCGCTGCTACCTACCTTCTGTATGTAGCCTAAGGTCTGGCAACGTCCTCAGCACCCTCATACCCGAGGTCTGATGAGGAAAACCACACAGTGAGACTCTCCCCACTGAAACTGTTACCGCAGAGCCCATCCACTTGGATAAATGCTATGCTTTCTCTAGATAGATGAATACCGACCCACCAGTAACTACGGTACCACGACCACCGTGTTCTCTAAAATCAGGTGCGAGTGGACAGCCTCTCTTTCCGACGCGCGTTCCTGGAGGGCTATCTCTTGCCGCACGAGTACAGGGCGTGCTACGGCTTCGCCGCGTGCGTGGCGCTTACCGTAGTGATGGGCCTGCTGCTCTCAAGGGAGCACCAAGGGTGGGTGGGACACCTGTTGTGGACGGGGATGCTCGTGGTGGCATTCACCTTCATTCCGGCTGCCAAATGGTTTGGCACTTACGAGGTAGGTAGGGGTGGGGGAATGGTCTCAGAGTGATCATTCGAATGCACCCACGTTTGAAAGGAGGGACCGTACTCGACGGTCGTTGGCCAGGTGGGACCTTACAAAAAATCACCTCCACCGTACCCCCTCCGTATGTCAGCCTTATTGTTTGCTACAAGTAGACAAGGAGGGTTCTAGGACCAACCGGCTGGCGGCGAGTGGATGCGCTCCTTCAAAATCTTCGGTGTGTGTTTGGTTTCGGTTGGCACGTTTAATCCTGCCGCGCACTTTACGCAAAATCCTTTGGGTCGCACCAGGTCGACGCCACGATGAAGCTATCTCTGTGGCTGGCCGGAATCATTCTCACGACAACGTGTGCGCTGACATTCGTCCTACTCCTTGACGCCGAGGCCTTCCGCGACCAATCGCTCGCGGTGCTGAATGCCTTCCTGGCCTACCCGATCGTCGCCTACAGTGCATTTTCCTGCTTCCAGGTAGGTAGTGTGGACTGAACTGAACTGCTGCTTCATAGTTGCTGTGCAGTTTCCGTACCCTCGGAAAACACTTCCTGGGCTCCGGAGGAGGTAGTGTGACATGTAGTGTCTTCTGTAAATACAAGCAAAATATAATATAGTCTATTCACTTGTGGGGTCAACCACGGTTTGCAAGCCTGCTTGGGTGGCGTTCCCGACCAGGAAAGCGCGCACTCCGTCAACGCCACCCAACAGGCAACATACGTTGTAATGTTCTCCCATCTATGTCGGAAAAAGTTGTCTGCTGCGAAACGTTAGACCACCAGGTAAAGGGATGTTTACAATCAGGGGTCCCTACCGGTAGCGAAACGACAACAATGTGTGGGAAGGGCATTGTGTCCATGTCAACACCGGAGTCCTTAACACCTAGGCGCCATGTATCTGGGAGGTTTTGGACAAACCAACCCTCTCTCTTTGGTCTCGCCCTGGCTGCTGATCAATGAATGCTTCGTTTTGCTGCACTCTTTATCGGCGCGCCCTTTGCTTACTGATATTGCTTCACCCCACCGCGAAACAGGCCATGGACGGCCCGACTCCAGAGAAAGTGTTGTCCAACTTCGACGAAAACGGAGAGGAAATGGAAGAGCCCCCTTCCAAGTGCGCCACGCTGTACCACAAAACCGTCGGCCGCTTCGTGTCCTTTAAGGCCCTGCTGGCGGTCGCGACAGCCCTCTGGCTGTGGCAGAGCTTTTTGTGGGGCGGAATGTACACGGGGTGCGGGCTAACCGTCGCCGTTGCGCTGGCCGGAATGGTGGGGCTGATCATCCGAGACTACCTGTCGCAAGGATTCATGGTGTCCAGGTTCGTGTAAGGGGTGTTGGGCGTGAACGGAACGGGCAGGGGATCGGAGCACGGACTTTCGCAAAATGGCGGGGAACCAAAACAGAAGTAACTCTTGTGGTGTCGCTTTTGTCTGATCCTTCAACCCACGTGCTTCCCATACTGGAACACCAACCGCAAGGGTTCAGTAAGTTCACAAACACTACCAGTCTCGGCGTATGTTCACAGCATTATCGTCTCGGTGTAGGTTCCGCAATGTCGAAGAAAGTGTTGATACGTGTGACAGCGGTTATATAATGGGAAATGCTATCCTTTATGAAGAGGATATCCACAACAACGGTTGTTGTAGTCGATAGAGCACACACACTTCCCCTACAAGAAACCCATGCGATTCCAAGGTCCCAACTTCTTGTATCGACAGATTGCGGTGAGCGTGCCATACTCTCGGGACAATTTTTTCCTTCAAAACATCCTCTCTTGTTCCTGTGACCTGATGGCTGAACGTTGAACATTATCCTTTGCTGTGCCCCATTTCCACCGTTTGCACATGCTGGAACTTGTTGTTAGCCTATGCCTCGTCGGACCCACCCTTGCGTGCGTAACGACAGGTCTAACATCCACGGAACGGTTCGCCTTTTCGCGGACACCGTCATGATCGCTTGCCTTGCGGCCGCGCTGTGGGGGGTCGGGGCGGAGGCGTTCTGCCTTACCGTGTTCTTCGTCGTTTGGATTCTGCGCATAGCCCTCCCCGTCGCCACGCGCTGGTTAGAAGCCGAGCCGGACACGGTCATCTACTTCGCGCCTTGGGTAAATATAGTCAGCCTGCCTCGAGTTACGCTTTCCTGCTTCGCGAAAGCTCCTTGGATGATTTTCAATTTAGCTGAGCCTCATCTGTATCTCCCATCCCCTGAAACTCGAACCAAATCTTAACGATAATGACAAAGGTATTCCCCGCCTACACGTACGACGCGCGAACTGGTAATCTGGTGGACGAGACCCACGTCACGCGGCAGGCCTTCTCCGGGCTGCTGGTAGGCGTGGCGTGGGGCATCGCGGTGGCGATTTTCGTCGAGCCTCTGGGCATAGGCGTGGTAAGCGAGAGTCTCATAATGGTTTTACATGAGATCGATTGGTGAGCGGCTGGGTTCGTTCTTCCGCTGACGGATCGCTGAGCGCGTCAATCAGTGTTAGTATATATGACGCTCGGTATCGTTCGTGTAAACAACCCTCATGCTGTCTCAGAAATTTCGTGAGCGTTGTCTCAGATACATCGCGAACTTATCTCCAGTTTTCCCAAAAGTCCCACACGGCTCTTCCTTATGTATCACAGCGGTCGCCTTGACATGCTGACTCCTCGAACAGCTGTAAGACGGTTCCCTGATGTTTGCTTACCCCCATGTCCCCAACCTCATGTAAGCACCCAAGCGACTTCACCTCATCTCCAAACCTCTGACCGGCCTCTTCCAGGGTCAAAACGGTTTCCGTCGATATGAAACTTATGTTTACGACAGCTCTTATCGTGTACATGGGCATTGCCTTTTTTGTTGACTCAACCGTTTTGAGGAGTGCGACAATAAACACATCCCTTTCGACTGAGGTTATATCTCGAACGGATAGTCTTTCTGTGAGGTTATGTTTACCTTCTGATAAACAGGTGTCCTTCCTTCATCAAGAAAAACCAATCCTTCAGGAACGACTCGTTCAGGCCATGAATGAGTAACTCCCCCCCGCCCGAACGACTAAATTTGGGTTGTTCGATTGAACAACCAATCAATAAAGGCGATCGCGTGCGTGTTCATGATGGCCCTGGCTTCGGCCGTCGCGTGGTGCGTGAGCTTCTCGCCTAACCGCCTAGGGGTCGCGGCACAGTTCCTGGACTCCTCCTTGGTCTTCGAGGCTGGCGATGTGGCGAGGTCTTGCTTCGTGTCCCGTCACGCCGTGTTTGAGGTGATGTCTTCAGTGACGATGCCGTCTTTTGCTCTCCGTGTAGCGTTGATGGCATGTGATGAGTTTGTTTTTTCAGTGTTGTGTAATGTTAAGCATAGAGGTTCAATGAGACGTGACGTGATGAGACTGTTTTTTCAGCGTAACCTACAGGGGGGGAGGGGGCGTTGCTATGGTGAACCAATAGGGGGTATTGTTTAAGGTATGACGGAGGAATTGTAGCTACATATCGTGATTCCTCATTTGTGGAATACAATCGTCCGAAGAGATGGTAGTGTTTGAAGGCGGGAGCGAATTTGCTTTGTCATCGACAAGTTCAACACACTTATGTACCTACTGCGTTGCACCTTAAATGCACAATCAAACCAGGTCGAATGCGAAGAGTTTGCAGACCAAACAAGCAAGGGCTACCGTGGCGCCGGCGGCAGGATCAATCCAGCGTCCAACGCCGCCAGGATGTTCGAGGCTCGAGAATCCGCAGTCGATCTAGCCGTTGGACTCGAAGAAAAGGTACTCGAGGCCCACGATACCGCGAGACCTGTACTTTGCTCTTGCGCGTTCATCATCGGGGTATCTCGGTACACGCGGGAGTCTTACTGGGGCAGTCATCATCTTGATCATAGGAAACAACCGTTTACCCTATTGCACTATTATCCATCGCAATACATGCCCCAAGCTTGCGCCAAAGTCAAGCTTTCGCTCTGTCATGGCGATTTCCTGGGTGACCGCTCCGGCATTTGTGAGTGAGTCGGATCTCGCAACTGTAAATCCATCGCACCATACCGGTGCGTCACCATACCGGTGCGTCACCATACCGATGCGTCACCATACCGATGCGTCACAGAATAGAACTCAATGAGAGTCGAGTTTCGTGTCCTCATAACTTTTTCGAATGAAGCGCGTCCGCTCTGTTCGTCCAACCCTTCGATCTGTACCTCGACCACAAATCACTCACCGGCCACCACTACTAAAAGATCCAAGTCCATTGCGACCCGTACACAACGTCAAACAACAGAACAAGGCGCTGAGAGTGGTGCTCGACGAAGAGACAGGGATCTACGAAACGAGGTCAGACGCACTGTACTCATTCGGAGAAGCCGTCATGGAGGCGTGGGTGTCTGGGAAAGGACCCCTCGGCCCGATCGGATGTTTCGGGTTGTGGTTTGGAATACTGGTGAGCCGACAATGTCCCACGCAGCATCTACTGATGTGCCTGTGTATGTTGGATACCTCCAAGTACTCTTGAGTTCACATTCGCTCAGCTTGTTCGACAACGAACCGAGCTTGCATTTCCGTTGCCCCTGGAAGGGCCTATTGGAGCCCAATGTGCCCGTGGCTTGTTGACAACCCGGAACCTTCGATAAAGCTAAGACAGCCTGATGCACCCATTCTTGCCAGCCGCCCCCTCAGTTTCTTTCGTAGTGTTTTCAGCTCTCTCCTCGTCCCTCCCATGCAACCCCCTTGCCCTTCCCCGCCACCCCCTGCTCAACACATCACCATTCCCGCGACCGGTTCCTGTCGTCATCAGCGTCTGTTCGCGTTGGTCGGTCATGTGTGCTGCCGAAAGTTGGGAGCAGCACACAACCCGATCCTCGCGCGCTACCTCCCGGACGGGCAGAGAAAGGACGCCGACACGCTTTCTCCACCCATCGACCACCCGGACATTCTGCTCGAGGTAACCCAAGGACCGTTTGTTGCACCACGCTCAGTCACAACCCGCGCAATCAAGTCACGATATCCTTCCGCTGTCTATGGCTTCCACCTCGACCGGCCAAACTACCAACCGCCACATTCACAACCGCAGAGTGCGTCGGCGTTTTGACGTCGCGGTAATTCTTATCTTTCTTCCCCTAAACATACAGATTCTGGACAACGAATCAGTTTTACGGGGAGCGTTCCGGGAAGAGCTTATGTGCATGATGCACTTCCAGATTCTCGTGCTGCTCTCCGCTGAGGCTCGTCTTCAGCGCGAGGCAAGTAGACGGGGACCGAGACTCTTATCAGTACTTTGTCGCTCATGTTGTTGAGGAACAGAGGATTTCGTACGGCCGTAAGCTCGACAAAGAAAAGCTGACAATTTGCACTCGCTTTCAGACTGGTGCAAGGCCATCCGTGGAGTCCCGAACTTCAGTGGTGTTCGATCATCACTGTTGAAAATTTAAAGAATTTATCGTTCGTAGCGTTTAGTTCAACTCACCGCCCTTCTCCCAAGCGATAGTTGTACGAACCCAGAGCCGGTTCTTATCTCTTTCTCTGTATCTGACATTCTTCTATCTTTCTCCCTCTCTCTATCTACGGTTTCCTGCAACTACAGGGAATCTTATTCAGAAAGTTCTTGAAGGAAAACCACTTCAAGCTTCTGTCTAACGGAATCGTGCCGCCGAACACCGTCTTCAGCAGCGCTAGGTACGTGAAGCTGTTAGCTTCGTGTCGTTGCCATCGGTACAGAAAGATAACACCCTGACCGTTGACAGCAACAGCTGAATACAGATAGCGCCCGCACTTAAGAACTTAGCAGCTAAGAAATAGAGACTCGCAAAAAACCAGAAGCTAAAAACTTGAGCACCATTTGTGAGCTCGGTTCAGAACCCCACACTAAAACCTACATAGCGGCCATTTGTAGCCCACAAGAGGATGATCAGCAAAATAAGAACCCCAGCCTCGGCCGAAACTATAATAGAGGTACTTGAGTGCGGGCGCCATCTGTACGGTGTATTTTGTTTCGAGCAGCATTTTTTTATCCTCGTATGATTTGCCTAAACTATGCAGCTCATTCTCATTTGAGTTGCTTGTATTGCTTGCCAAAAGCGTCGTGGGCACGCGTGACTACTTCTATAACCACTCTGCCACTCTTCTTTCTTTTCTCCGCTGTGTTTCGTTTCTTTCATAGTTTCGCATCGGTGAATATCTCGATGATGGCAGTGTGGCTTACAGGGCTAACTGGGGAGGAGCGGGAGCGGTTTCAGGCGCTACGCAGAAAGTTCTCCGACATACAGGTTATACGAGCAAACTGTGCGCTTCATCACAAATATTCCTTCGAACACGTTGACAAATCCGCTCCCCTATCCCTCTTTCTCTCTACGGTATCTCTGTGAGACTTTGGAAGTCCGTCCGTGTGTTCTCTATATTCCGTAGGGTACACCGCGAGAAACCCGCAGCGATATTGTGTTGGCTATGTATTTCCGGCGGATTTAGGATGTACAACGAGACCAACGCGCTCGGGAACGTTTTCGTCCGAGATATATTCTTTGCTAACTTTCTCCGCCCCCCATAAGGGCGTTCATTTCACGTAAATATGTGCAGGTGACCCCCGCGGCCTTTACAGTGGACAGGACTTTTTTCATCCCCATCACTACAGGATCGTCCGTATTGAGAATCGGTGGTTTCCTGTGTGCCCAGTCGTCATTCCTGGCTTGTGACAACAATCTGTTGAGCGCTGTGTCATCTTGTTGATAGCGCGTCATACCGCACAACACAAGCGCACGACCGCATCACTAATATCTCCCGGTCTTTTGTTTGTGGCCATGCGCCACACTACACCACGTCACATCGCCACACCATCACAACAGTCCGACCGCGACCGCGCGGTGATCGAGGCGGACGAGGCCTGCGACAAAGCGGCCGCGGAGCTAGAGAAGGGCAGGGAGGCCAGGTCAAACAAGATGGCCGCAAAGCAGAGGGAGACCTTCGCGAGGAGGCGAGCGGAGAGGGCGGATGCATGGACCGAGCAACTCGCAATACAGGTAAGTATGTGTGCATACGACGATATTGCAGCAAGCACGGTTCCTTCACAAAACATGCCGCGGAGGAGCGTTTCTCTTCTGTAAAACACCTGCAAGGCTACCTAGCCTCGAAGGCAGAAATATTGTCTTGCGTCAGTTTCGTGTCGTACCCGCCCGCCGTCGCTCTAACCTATATCCTTCCCTACCCTACTACTCTATTATCAAAACACATTTGAACTACAACAGGACCAGCAGATGTTTGCGAGCCTGAGGGCTCAATGGCTCAAGCACGACAACGTTACGGTACACCCAACCCACAAGGTGTGCGTGCCTACTCTGCTTCTGAATTCACCGCTGTCGAGTTGGTCGCCCTTTCTCACCTCACCTACTTCTGGAAGAGGATGTGGTGACCGAAGGTATTTGTTTCAGTAGGTGCATGCCTATGTGTGTCCGAAGAAAGTACAACACCTCTGCTTTCGGGGAAGTCGGTTTTTCAACTCGACTGTTTTCGGGGAAGTTGGTGTTTCTACTCCGACCTTGTTACCCCCGCCCCTCAAGATTCTCCGACAAGGCTTCGACCGGGTGGGGCTCCTGCCCAAAAAGTATGTGCTCATTTTCCTACTCTTGTGCAACCTAAACCAAACACTAAGCGACCCCCCCCCCCTAGGGAAGACATTTTTGAGCCAACTTTGGCAAAGTAGGAAGAAACGATTGGCCATCGGTGACCGGTCCTGTGGGAACAATGCTCCGTCCTCTCGAGGACGCGTGGTCAATGATCTAATCGCTAAGGCATGCAAAACATAAGAGTATGCCCCCCC